GAGTAACTCCTCCTTTTCTCCTTCTTACATACATTCAATAAAAGCATAACTTCTTCCAATTTTTTTTTTCGCTTTATTTCTCAACCAAATAAAATGATAACACGAAAAGCGGGCAGACAACCAAAGAGGCTGAAAAAAATTATAAAAATTTTAAGTTTTCAGGTACAGAATACTATTTAATAATTATTGCGTTGGTGTCAAATGACTGAACAACTGCATATTAGAATATATTTGAATTTTTACTATTCCTGGGAAGGCACCACCGACAGCTGAGCAAAGATAGACGAAGGTTCATCATCATCATCATCATCATCATCATCATCATCATCATCGTCATCATCCATCCATCCATCCAACCAACTGAACATATCAGACACCTATCGCATTTGCTTCTTCTCCTTTTTCTCTTCATCCCTCTTCTAGCGCCTTCGCTGTGTATCAATGACCAACCCACCACTGAGCAACTAATATATATCTGATGTAAAGTGACGAAGTTGAAATTTTTTTTTCCTTTCGTTTTAATTTTTTGCCGCAAAACTAACCTTACATAATGTAGTTCTTAAGTAGCTCAAATAAAAAAAAATACTTGCAGTATACTCTTTATACCTCCAATTCTTCCTCAAACAATAACTCCAGCAACACCTTCACAAATGAACTTTTTCTCCAGTCTTTCTACACGTACATTTATCACCCACTACCATCAACATCGGCAGCATCATCATCATCATCATCACCCTTACCACCACCACCACCAACAATAACAACTCTTTGTGTGCGTGTGTGTGTTAGGTATAATTCTTACAGTGTAAATTTGAAGAGAGCATTAACTAAACATTTCAAACAAGTGAGCAACTAATTAAGCAAAGCTTAGTTAAATAAAAAAAATTCTTAACAGAGAAAAAAAACTGGAAACAAAAAACGATGCACAACACACGTACATACAAATATACTGAAAAGCAAAAAAATGCATTTGAAATGAGAACCCTTCAAAGATCCACCAAAAAAAGACTACGATAACTGAGGGGGAAATAAAAACGAAAAGCATAGAACACAGCTTTGCTGTGTTTGAAAATAATATAGGCAGAAATTGATTAGAAAGGCCGCAGCAAAACCGAGAACTCAAGAGTCAATTCACACTTCTTGGCTCGACAGCAAAATGCCAAGAAAAGAACTGCGTCAGCACATTATCTACCTATCTACCTCGCATATCCATCTAACTAATTTATTCTATACTACCTTTCTTTATCCTAATCAATCAGCCAATTACTTATATTTTTTTAGTCTTTATCCTAAATACCATTAGCAAATTGTTTAAAAATTTAAGCAAAAATAAAAGCAATGAATAGCCTTGGTTCAGAGACAAATGACAACGCCTAGGTAGAGAAGCTTTAATTTGCATTTCTGATTAGCCTTACTGCTAGGCAATGTAGCCTCCTCTTCGTTCTCCTGCATCTCCTCCACCTGTTTTTGCGCCATTATATGATCTGTGTCTATACGTTTGTGTTTGCGTATGTATCAATAAAAAAAACTGCCTTTAACTGATTCCTCAATACCCAAACAAATATGCCAGAGCATCACCAAACGGTTCTCATAAAAAATAATTACTTTCGAAAAATTTCATGAAAAACTAGATTAGATCGCTATATTTTTACATCAAAAAAAAAAAAAAATCTGAAAACGAAAAGACAATCATTTTTACCAATCTGGATACTATCAGTCAACAATATTCTTTTTTTTCTTCTCAAAATTCTTCAATAGAGTGATCAGAACAATACATACTACTTTGATGGCCCCATAATACGACAATGTACTGACTGCGATCAAAAAAAGATTTTTTCTAACGTTCACTTATAAATAAACAGAAAAAAATTAAAAAAAAATAAAACGAAGCAATTGCTAAAATTCCTGCTTAAATAAAGAAATCGTAATTTTTTACTCTTCAATTAGATGTGCTAACTTTAGTTTATTTTAAACTTACCTACGCATGATGTATCTAAAACATGTTGCAAAGAAACAAACAAATTACTTCATCTTCTTCCCTCTTTTTCATCAAACAAATTTATACAAATTAGCAACTTGAAAAATAAGATTAAAAGCGCGAACAGATGGCCAAAGCAATAGTCAATCAAGCCAAACCTAGAAGACCGACTTGTTGCTCTTTTCACTCATCATTTCCACTACTAACACAGCATCATCAACGAGCAGTAGCAAAAGCAGAGGAAAGTCGAAGCAGAAGAAGCAGTACATCAGTCAGTTAGTTAGTTAGACCTTAAGTTCGCCTCTGCTGTATCCGCCCTTCACTCAACGCCCCTACATCTCAGCCAAAATAGGACGCACTGAATCAAAGCCTGATGCCTATTTATGATATTTTCAAATATATTTTCAGTAAAGAAGACAACAAGAAAAAATGTAAAAAAAAAAAAATAAAAAAAAAAACAAATAACCGACTATTTCTGACGCAGAAATACTGATTTATAAAGGTCTAGCCTTTTTTTCTTCCTTCCCCCTGCTCCACCCCTCCTCCCTCCCCACCCTCTTTCCATCCTAATACTTCATTGTACATAAGATTCGTACGAGTGATGAGAACTTGTTATTTCTGATTCAACATCGCTACATTGTTTAAAAAAAAGAATCAAAAAACTTTTCCTTTTAGCTTCAAAAGAAAAAGAAAATCCAAGCATTAAATCGAAGTGAAACGTCCGCCTTAAAAAGTCAACTACTTCTTGCACTTACGCATAAAAGGCAGAAATAAAACTTATAGCGATGTTAACCAACTAGAATTTCTTCTTTTCAAATCAAGCTACTCCCTCTCTCAATTCACTTGGTCTTTTAACAGAAACATATAAATAATATATATATATATACTTCAAAAAGCATTGCAAAAATAATTCTAATAAAAATAAATACTGGAAAAAAAATGTACGATAAAATGAACTAAACAGTTCTTTTCAGACCCTCAGTAACATCACCCGAATTGCACACTGAAAGCCGTGAACAACGAAATGTGATCAAAATAAAGAACAAATATAAAAGAAAGCTTTGACAAACAGCAACAATGGCAAAAAAAAAAAAAAAA